GTTAAGAAGAAATGTCCCCATCATTCGTCGCAGATGCGTGTAATTAGACATTGCCGTGATATGTATTGGAACAGTGTCACAGAGTTAATCCTTTACACATGCAAAGGAACAATTTATAGTATTAGTAATCACCGCTACATAGAAAAGGAGTCACGCTACACGGAAATTGAGTCATGTTTCGATGTGTGGTGGAAATCGTTCCTTTTCCACCAATCGGACAAGGATCCTGATGAATTTAACGCCAGGGGTATAAGAGTTTCGTTCACGATGGATGTTCGAATTCAGCGCGCGCGTTGAGCAGCGCAGCCGAGAGCCTTGCCCTAGCCACGAGTTCCCGCCGTGCGCCGAGCCCCGAGCGGCGCCGCCTTGACAACCGCTCTGAGCGGGAGGGCGTTGCTAGCCGGAAATCACGTGACTATTGAGCCACGACCGGCGCGGTTTTCTCAAGGAGTCACCATGACTTGCACTGCCCCAAATTCACGAAAACAGGGCAGTCGTGACGAAATATCGCACCACCCTGACGATCGTCCCATGTGGGACACCGGGTGATTTGAGCGACCAGTATCTCCGCAACGCTCGGAGGCATAACGCTTGCCTACGTTTCTTGGTGAAACATTCACGCTTACACACGCACCGCTCGTTTTAATTTCAACTCCGTGTACCTTCGAGTCTTCTGCTTAGAAATAAAGAGATCAATTTCCTTTGCCTACCCCAGTGGAGTTTAGTTCATTCGATTCACTTATTCTTCTCTGGGCCTTGCCCGCCCCGCGTCTAACATTAACGCACATTTTTGGTCCTTCGAGCCGGATTCCGATCTCGTGGACTTGCACGTTGGTCGGGATCATCCGCGAACTCGCGCATCGGTTGTGACTGTTCCGAAAGTGCAAGGATGGAACAACTGCTATCCGCACAAGCTGAGATCCATGGGCGCATCGGGCGCACTGTGGATAATCTAAAAAAAATGGGAGCAGCCAACGTGACCGCTGCTGCAATCGAATCTTGTCTAAAGCTTCTGGACGCCAAGTGGACAAAGGCTGAAGAGCAGCACTCCGAACTGTGTGCTGACTACGGAGACAAGCTCGAAAAGCACGAGTACATTGCCAACGACTTTATAAGCGAAATTGAAGCATTGTACATCCAACAACGGGCAACACTCATGGACTTTGGCAAGGCGCTGGGCGCATCTGCTCCGGCCCAAACCACGAGGCCCCCAACCGTCGATCTGACCGTGCAGCGCACCACGCTGCCCCAGATCCCGTTGCCGGAGTTCTCAGGGAGATTTGAGGATTGGCCCACTTACCGAGACCTTTTCGAATCGCTGGTGATTGACGAGAAATCCCTGTCGAACATAAAGAAGTTTCAATACCTGAAGGGCAGCGTAAAGGGTGATGCCCTGCAGCTAATCACTAGCCTTCCAGTCACCGCAGACAACTTCACTCGCGCCTGGGCGACGTTGAATGACCACTACGAGAACAAGCGGCTGTTGCTCAAGTCGTACCTCGCTGCGTTTACCTCGCTTCAGAAGATGAAGTCAGATTCCGTCGCTGACCTCAAGCGAATCTTCCACCGAGTAGTGACTACTGTCGGGGCGTTGGAGGGGATTGGCCGTCCCATAACGGGTTGCGCGGATCTCTTCGTGCACCTGGTCATCGAGCTCTTGGACGACAAGACTCATCGAGAATGGGAAGACACGCTTACCAAAAAATCGGAGCCGCCCTCCTATGAGAAACTGCGTGACTTCCTCGAGGAGCAGGTACTGAAACAAGAATCATTCCGACCTCGAGAGCAAAACAGCTCAGGCAGACCCTCTGAGCGTGGCCGCGCAGCCCGCACATACAGCACGAAGAAGCAAGGGTATGATGTTGCCAGTAGACATTGCCCACTCTGCAAGCGCCCACATTTTATAATGGTATGCGAACAGTACAAGCTAAAGTCTGCGCGGGAGAAGCGAGAAGTGGTGAGTACGTATCGCCTATGTGAGAACTGCCTGGGACGCCACCACGTAACCGATTGCCCCTCACCCAAGCACTGCGGTAAGTGTACGGCTCGGCATCACACTACGCTGCACGACGCCTACGCGAGTGCCCTCTCGGCTCTTGCAGCTCCGGATGCGACAGCGGCGGTGCACGTCTCGGACTCGCCTCCCGTGGACTGCGCGCCCGTGTTGCTCGCGACCGCCCGCGTCCTTGTTACTGACCGTGCGGGAGAGCGACATACAGTCCGGGCACTCGTGGATTCGGGTTCGGAGACCTGCATGATCGCCGAATCATTGGCTCAGCGACTGCGGCTGCCGCGCACTCCAACATCGGTGGCCATTTTCGGGATCGGTGGACAGCAAACAGGGGTGTCTCGAGGTCGAATCTCGCTCACGCTCGCGTCAAGAACCTCGGGCTTATCGTTGGAAATAAGTGCCCTCGTCTTTCCGCACCTCACAGTATACGGGGGCGTCGCTGCCAGACGCCCTCGGTCGTGGCTGCACTTAGAGGGACTCGAGCTCGCGGACCCTGAGTTCCTCAACCAGGATCCCATCGAGCTTCTCCTCGGAGCGGACGTGTTCGCGCATATCGCCCTCCCTGGCCTGCGCAAGGGGGGTCCGCTGGAGCCCATTGCGCAACAGACTCAGCTAGGCTGGGTTATTCTCGGAGCCGCGGGTCTCAGTCACGCCGCCTCAGTCATGACATCCCTGCAGTGCTCGCCCTTGGAGGAACTCAACTCTCTCGTGCGCCAGTTCTGGGAACAAGAGGAGCCGCCGCACGCGCCCCTCCCCCTCTCCGACGACGAACATGCCTGCGAGGACCACTTTGTCCGTACTCACAAGCGGGATCCGAGCGGCCGCTATCAGGTACGCCTCCCGGTGCGAGCAACCATCCCGGACCTGTCGGGCTCCAGACGTGCCGCTTCCAGGATGCTTGACGTCATGCAGCGACGGTTTAAGAAGGACCCTATATTTCGGGACAAGTATCACGTTTTCCTCCGCGAGTACTCCGCACTTGGCCACATGTCTTTCGCCGTACCGTTGGCCGAGGGACCTTCGGTCCGAGTGTGCTTCCTGCCACACCATGGTGTTCTGAAGGGGTCGGGCAGCGACGCCAAGATCCGAGTGGTGTTTAATGGCTCAAGTCAAACAATGACCGGGACCTCTCTGAACGACTTCCTGCGGCCGGGACCGAACCTGCTTCCTGCCCTGACGGATGTCATAATCCGCTGGCGACACCATCGCTTTGTCTTCATCACGGACATCGAAAAGATGTACAGACAGATCATGGTGCATCCGGAGGACCGCAACCTACAGCGCATTCTGTGGGAGGAAAACGGTGAGACCCTCGAATTTAGGCTGAACACAGTAACGTATGGACTCTCCTGTGCACCCTACTTGGCAATCCGGGTACTGCGGCAGCTCGCGAATGACGAGGAGCGGAACTTCCCGCTGGGGGCAGAGGCCTTGCGGAGGGATGCCTACGTTGACGACATCCTCTCGGGAGCCTCAACCCTCGCAGAGACCCGGAATCTCCAAGGCGAACTATCTCAGCTTTGCACGGCGGGCGGATTCCCGCTGCGAAAATGGGCTGCCAACCATCCAGCCTTGCTCGAGGACATCCCGCTTGACCACCGGAGTCAAAAACCCGCTGACACCGTACTGCCTGCTGAGAGCCAATCGGTCCTGGGCCTCAGATGGAGTCCCGAGGGCGACTCTTTCGCTCCCATCGTTGGTCGGACCGCGACTGACGAGCCTACCAAACGGTCATTGCTCTCATACACTGCCCGACTCTTTGATCCCTTCGGTTGGTTGGCGCCGATAATCGTTCTGGCCAAGCTGCTGATCCAGTCTACCTGGCTGCAGCGCCTCGACTGGGACGACCACTTGGCCGGTGAAGAGAGGGCGGCGTGGCAACGGCTGACGGAAGAGATGCCCCTCCTGCAGGACATCCGGATCCCCCGGTGGATGCACAGCGACTCTGCGAGAAGTCAGGTCGAGATCCACGGCTTCTCCGACGCGTCGGAGCGGGCCTATGGGGCGGTTATATATCTCCGAGCAGCGGGTAAGGGCCGAGTCCACACTTCGTTGGTCTTGGCAAAAACCAAGGTCGCCCCCTTGAAGCGGGTCTCGCTCCCGAGGCTCGAACTTTGCGCTGCGACCCTGCTTGCCAAGCTGGCCTCCCACGTGAAGACCACGCTGCCCCTGGAGGGGACAGCCACTCACCTATGGACGGATTCAACCGTGACCCTCGGCTGGATTCGTGGCCATCCGGCAAAATGGACGACATTTGTCGCTAATAGAGTGGCCGAAATTCATCGAAATGTTGCAGACGTACACTGGCACCACGTACCTGGCCGGGACAACCCGGCGGACTGTGCTTCAAGAGGAATGTCGCCGCGAGATCTCCTGGTACACTCACTGTGGTGGCGTGGACCAACCTTCCTCAGCGAAGACCCTTCGCAGTGGCCGGTGGACCCTGGAACTCCGGCCACAATGGAGCTTCCCGAACAGCGCGTCGGCTCATGTCTTCCAGTCTCGGAGATACTAGAACCGGAGGAACTGACCCGGTTCTCATCGCTGAAGCGTTTGCTCCGAGTCTCGGCGTGGATGTGGCGGTGGAGAGCGCGCCCAGACATGGTCGACCCCGCTTCATGCCGCGAGACAACCATCCTGACCACGGATGAGTTAGAGCAGGCGTTACATCGATGGCTGCGCGTAGTGCAGTCAATCGCCTTCCGGGCCGAGCTCGACAGCATCGCCCAGCGAAGGGAAATGCCACCGCGCGGCCCCCTTCGCCGACTTACACCTGCTGTGGATGCTCAAGGACTTCTGAGGGTGGGAGGCAGGCTGAAACATTCAGTGCTCGATGCAGATCAGCGACACCCAATCATCCTTCCACCAGGGTCGCACCTGACTTATCTTGTGATCGACGCCACTCATCATCGCACACTCCATGGTGGCACACAGGCGACCCTGGCAGCAATTCGTCAGCGATATTGGATCCCTAAGGGGCGACAGCTCGTACGACGTTATATTCATCGATGCGTACGATGCGCGCGATGGCGGGCGGCGTCCCCGCAACCACTCATGGGCAGCCTTCCAAAGGCGCGAGTCACGCCTAGCCGACCATTCTTGCACACGGGGGTGGACTTCGCTGGACCGATTCTTCTCCGTACGACCAAGGGGCGTGGACATAAGGCCTACAAGGCCTACTTGGCAGTCTTCATCTGTTTCAGCTCCAGAGCCGTTCATCTCGAGGTGGTGAGCGACTATAGTGCCGAGGCCTTTCTGGCCGCTTTCCGCCGCTTCGTGTCCCGGCGAGGATTATGCCAGGCCGTATACAGCGACTGTGGCACCAATTTTGTGGGAGCCGACTCGCAACTCCGGGCCTTGTTCCAGGCGGCCGGGCAGGAATGCCACCGCATTGTGGGAAGCCTGGCATCCGATGGCGTCCAGTGGCACTTTAATCCTCCCTCTGCCCCACACTTCGGGGGATTGTGGGAAGCAGCAGTCAAATCTCTGAAGCACCACCTGCGAAGGGTCATCGGAGAAACAACACTTACCTACGAAGAGATGGCCACGCTCCTCGCGGAAGTGGAGGCCTGCCTGAACTCGCGCCCATTGCAGGCTTTAACAGACGATCCAGAAGACTTGACGGCGCTGACACCGGGGCACTTCCTTGTGGGAGCACCACTTAACTCGATCCCCGAACCTGCCTTACTCGACATTCCCGCAAACCGCCTGAGCCGCTGGCGCCTACTACAAAGCATGCGGGATCACTTGTGGCACCGCTGGGCCCAGGAATACTTGCAGGGACTGGCCCCTCGACCGAAGTGGTGGCGAACGACCGGTAACCTGAAGGAAGGACAGCTGTGCCTCGTGAAAAGCGAAGTGACGCCGCCATCTCGGTGGTCCTTGGCACGGATAACCCGCATTCACCTTGGCGAAGACGGACAGGTGCGCGTCGTCGAGGTGCGAACCGCCGCCGGGCAGCTCACTCGACCTGTTGTGAAAATCGTACCGCTGCTCTCCGCCGACGAGGGCGGAACCTCCGCGTAATGCGCCCTGTGAATATCCCAGATTGTTATTATTATAGTCATTTCATTCCTGTTACCATTAAGTCAACATTGATACCTACCAGAAGCATTTGAACCTCTCTTGTTGCGGGCGCGCGTGCCTACCTGTCGTCGCCGGCCTTGGGCGCCCTACTCGCGTGTGACACGTGACAAATACTCACGTGCCGTCCCCGGCGATCCTCGCGTCGGACACCTTTTCGGCTGGCTTACACGTCGGATGTGAAATCGAACCACGATGACCACTTCTCATGACACTCGAACTGACATGTACAGTGCGTACCTGGGATTAAACGCTCTTCCGTGTGCCATGCGGCACGACCGGCTGACCCGATCGCTCATGTGCGCCTGGACATCGAAACGGAATACCAAGAGAGGCTGTGTACCCGCAGCTCTGTTCACCACCCCCCGGCCGCCTTTGTCAACCAAGCATCAATTTCGTCGGTTCCATGACATCCTTCGACGAGGCGGGCGGGATGTTCGAATTCAGCGCGCGCGTTGAGCAGCGCAGCCGAGAGCCTTGCCCTAGCCACGAGTTCCCGCCGTGCGCCGAGCCCCGAGCGGCGCCGCCTTGACAACCGCTCTGAGCGGGAGGGCGTTGCTAGCCGGAAATCACGTGACTATTGAGCCACGACCGGCGCGGTTTTCTCAAGGAGTCACCATGACTTGCACTGCCCCAGATTCACGAAAACAGGGCAGTCGTGACGAAATATCGCACCACCCTGACGATCGTCCCATGTGGGACACCGGGTGATTTGAGCGACCAGTATCTCCGCAACGCTCGGAGGCATAACGCTTGCCTACGTTTCTTGGTGAAACATTCACGCTTACACACGCACCGCTCGTTTTAATTTCAACTCCGTGTACCTTCGAGTCTTCTGCTTAGAAATAAAGAGATCAATTTCCTTTGCCTACCCCAGTGGAGTTTAGTTCATTCGATTCACTTATTCTTCTCTGGGCCTTGCCCGCCCCGCGTCTAACATTAACGCACAATGGACAAAGCTGGGCATTTATAGAAGTGGAGTTGTGTATAGATATACAACTGCCGGACCGCGAGATTGTCAGTCGCACTTTGAAATCTGTATTCGAAAAAACGTTTGACAGAATGGTGCTAGATTTTGACAGAGAGGTGCCAGATTGGTCTGTTGTCTTTCAACTATAATGAATTTCTACGTTCCGCTGAAGGATGAGGCGATCGAGAGACCGTAAGTTTTAATAAATGATTTGTCCTTTTTCCATGCTTAATTTATGTTTTCCATGCTTTAATTCTTTTATAGAATTGCGTCTCATATTACGAAGACGCCTCGTATATTGGGAAGAAGATTCGCTTTAACAACCACTTAAATTTAAATACTTGGATATTGGAATCAGCGTGGGATCTATATCTCATGTGAAAATACTTATTGGTGAACAACCGAGGCAATTACATTATCCTGCCTTATGGAAATGTGGAGGATTGTTTATCGAGAGACGTATGGACATTGAACAATTTCTGCAGTCAAGTGTCCCGTCTTC